CAAAAAAAAAAAAAAAAAAAAAAGGAGTAAACTGAGGCTCAACAACACGGTAATAAAGTAAACAATTTTGGATGGAATAGACCATGCTCTTGACCATGAAGCTGCCCTTCATGAAGGCTGGGAGAACATCTGAATGATTTGATGAGGGTTTAGGGAAACCCAGAACATGGTGCTCAGAGCTCAGTCCCGAGACTCAGTTTCCAGCGGGAGCAGTTGATGGTCTCGTTCTCTGGCCCTTACCCTGGGATCTTAGGAGCAGAATCTGTGAAAGGTGAATTTAGCCCAGCCTTGTCCTGCTATGCCGGAGGCAAAAGCAGGCCGGATAGGACAGACCCCTCAGCTGGCCACCTCCCAGACTCGTCCCACATCCCTGGGCCAGCTCATCCGGTCTTCATCTGGTCTTCCTCTCCCTTCCTCCAGGTGGGCACCTGTGTCCTGGAGTACGCCACCCCCTTGAAGACCTTGTTTGCCATGTCACAGGATGCCAGGGCTGGCTTTAGCCGGGACGATCGGCTTGAGCAGGCCAAACTCTTCTGCCGAGCGCTTGAGGATATCCTGGCAGACGCCTCCGAGTGTCAGAACAAGTGCCGCCTCATCGTCTATCAGGGTAAGAGGCTGGAGGGCAGGAGGAGTCGGGTTCTGGGGCTCCCAGAGTCAGAAGGACACACGGTAGCAACATTTCTGGGCCTTCCAAGTGGTCAGAAGAGTCACGAGCTTGCTTTCTGAGGTCTTTGACTGTAAACCCGAAGAGATGGATCTAGGGGCCCCTCATTTCATCTAGGGATACTGCAGGAAGAAGAGTCCCTGGCTAGAGGGAATGGAACACAAGAGACCAGACCTATAGTCTTGGCCCTGCCATTCCCTATGTAACCTTGGACAGGTGCCTGCCCTTTTCTGAGTGCCATCCCCAAAGGCAAAAGATGGTAATTCTGTTATATTTAAAGCCACTTCTGTGCTTGCTTTGGCAGCACATATACTAAAGCCACTTCTGCTGGGCATGGTGATGCACACCTATAATTCCAGCACTTGGGAGGCTGATGCAGGAGGATCGCTGTGAATCTGAGGCCAGCCTGGACTACATAGCAAGACTCTTTCTCAGAAAAGAGAGAGAGAGAGAGAGAGAGAGAGAGAGAGAGAGAGAGAAAGAGAGGGAGAGAGAGGAAGAGGGAGAATGAGAGAGGGACAGGAGAAAAGAAAGTGGCGCACACCTGTCATCCTAGCGCTCCAGAGCTGAGGCAGGAGGACGGTGAGTTTGAGACCAGCCTGGGCTACATAGTGCGTTCAAAGTCGGCCTGGACTATACAGTAAAACCCTGCCTCAGAACTGAACTGAAAACTGTACCAAACCAAATCGAACCAAAACATGCCCCCAGGACCCTGTGAGACAGTCCCACTGGCTGGGGGCCAGGTGGGAAGGGGGGCAGGGAGGGTGGAGGGTCTTGGCATCGTCTCTTGTGGGGTGTTCTAGAGGGAATGCGTAGGTCCTCACCCCTCTCTCCCCCATGTCCTGCCCTAGGACCTGCAGAGGGAAGCAGCTTCTCACTGTCCCAGGAGGTTCTCCGGCACCTGCGGCAGGAGGAGAGGGAGGAGGTTACCCTGGGCAGCTCGGAGACCTCGGGGGAGTCAGACTCAACCATGCAGGAGCCCCAGCTCCTCATCAGTGGGATGGAACAGCCTCTCCCGCTGCGTACGGATATCTTCTGAGGCCGGTCACCTAGCCTGAGCTTCTGGTGGTCCTTAAGATTGTGGACCGGGGGCTTCTTCAGCGGCTGGATGTCCAGCAGAGCTCCTTCCTCCCACGAGGGACCTGCGGGAGAGGGTGGGCCTGGACTTGACATCTCCAGCTGAGTCCTGTATCCTTGGCAAGGCTCACCTCGCTGAGCCAAGTCTTCTCATCTAAAAAACAGGGTAACTCTTTCCCTGCCAGCCTTATAGGCTCATTATGAGGACTCTGTGTGCGTGACATTCTGAGTAAATTATAACTGCTGGGGAAACTTAAGGGATGTGCAAGGACCTTCTTTTGGCCTCTCCAGGTCTCCTCTGCTGTGGGACGCCAACCTGTTTAGTGACACCTGTGGACTCCCTTGCTCTCTGGCTTTTGGTCATGTTGGTCAGCAGGAAGCTTGGATAGGGGACCAGGGGAGAGTGAGGTTGGGGTATGAATTTCTCCAGCTCCCTCCCTGCAATACCGAGGTCACTGTGGACCCTCCTGTCAAACCACCTTCTCAGGAGAGCTGTCTTCAGGCTTCTAGAACTGTCTCCTGCCCGCTCCCCTGTCAGTAGCAAAGGCTCTCCCCCGAGGTACTTGCTCTCTGTGGTTTCTTTATATCCTGACCCTTATCAGCAGCCCTCACACATCTAGGCAAATGCTCTACCACTAAACTACATCCCTAGCCTTTTTATTTTTATTTTGAGACAGGATCTCAGATAGGCATGGTGGCATACCTATGTCTGGCTAAGATCCTAGCACTTGGGAGGCTGAGCCAGGCGAATCACAAATGCAAGGCCAGAGCTAGGCATGGTGGTGCATGCCTGTAATCCAAGCAGTCAGGAGGCTGAGGCAGGAGGATCACTGCGAGTTTGAGGCCAGCCTGGGCTACATAGTGAGTTCAAGGGCAGCTTGAACCATACATTGATATCCTGCCTCAAAAAGAAAAAGGCTTTTTTTTGTACTATAGATTGAACTCTGGACCTTGCACTTGCAAGGCAGGCGGTGGACCCACTGAGCTAAATCCCCAGCCCCAACCCCAAAAGCATTTCTGAGTAAAGCGTCACTTTGGAGAAATGTGTCGGACAAAGACACAGTGGCCAGAGGGAACTAGCTGGCTCTGAGAAGGACAGAGCCAAGGGAGTGAGTCAAGGGGGACAGTGCATTGTCCCCCAGCTGCATCAGCCATCTCACCCTAAGACTTGAAGATCCTCCACCACATCAGTCATTCCCATACCAGAAACCAGCCCATAGCATGGTGTCCCACTATGGAGTCTGATGGCTCCAGATTCAAATCCTGACTCCACTACTTAGTTCTCGTGTCTGCCTGGGCATCTTAACAAGCCACTGTTTGCCCAAGTATAAATAGGGATACTGCAGTTCCTCTTCTCAGGGTTGTGACAAGTGAGTGGTATAGTGTTTCCAGGTCCAGAGATAGGACCGGAGTCTAGCACAGAGCCGACCCCAAAGAAGAAGCAGCTAGGGCCAGGGATTTGGCTCAGTTGCTCCACTGCCTGCCCTGCAAGCACAAGAACCTGAGTTTGATCCCTGGGAAGAAGAAGGAGGAAGAGGAGTAGGAGGAGAAGGAGAAGAAGCAGCAGCAGGTATTGCCACGCCTAATGGTGCACATCTGCAATCCCAGATCTACTAAGAAGGCTGAGGCAGGAAGATCACAAGTTCAAGGCCAGCCTGGGCAACTTAGAGCGATCCTGTCTCAAAATAACAAGGGCTAGGGAGGTAGTTCAGGGCTGACTGGGTTCATTCCAAAGAAATAAAGAAAGAAAAAGAAAAGAGGCACCTATGAACATTTTAACTGCCTCTTATCAGACTCGTGGGAGGGAAGCCTGTTCCGTGCACACACTGTAACCCCCATGTCTGCTCCCCTCCGTCCACAGGTATTTCTCAGTCTCCCTCCCTGCCTGGGTCTCACTGAGGCTGTGGCCCCAGTAGAATAGTTTTCCTCCAAAGGTCTCCAGGGTAAAGTACAAGAGTTTCCTCCATAAGCATCTTGTCCCTACTACTACCACCCAGTACTAGGGATTGAACCCAGGGCCTTCTCACTGAATTATATCCCCAGTCCCTTTTTCTTTTTTATTCTTTGAGATAGTCTCCCTAAGTAGCCATATTGTTCAGGCTGAGCTCAAACTTTAGATCCTCCTGCTTCAGCCTTCCAGAGTGCTGGAATTGTGGGCATGCACTATCACACCAGGTCTTTTCTGCTGCACTGGGGATTGAATCCAGGACCATGTGCATGCCAGGAAACACTCTACCACTGAGCAACACCCCAAGCCCCGTGTGCATGTCCTCGACTTGAATGAGGTTCCAAGGTGTCAGAGAAAGGGTTATCTTTCCAGAGAGCCACAAGGTGGCCTTGCTTTGGCTTCACAGCCCTTGCCTACATTTTCCTGCCCCTTCCTTCCTACCTCACTTTTCCAGTGCTCCTCCACATCCTCCCTTCCTCAAAGAGGTTCCATAGAGCTACTTTTCTTTTCCTGTTTTCCCACCAGCTGGAAAGTTCTGGAACTGAGAAATGTTTTTTTGTTTTGTTTTGGGTTTTTTGAGACAGGGTCTCACTATATAGTTGAGACTGACCTGGAACTCACTATGTAGCCCAGGCTGATCTCGAACTCACAGCAATCCTCCTGCCTCAGCCTCCCGGGTGCTGGGATTACAGGCGTTCGCCACCATGCTTGGCATTGGGAAATGTTTTGTGGTAAATTCTAGGCTTGTTCCAACTCCCCAAGCATGTAGAAAAGTGGGAGGTAATAAGAGCCTTCAGACTCCACCCATCAAATCCTGGGAAGACAAGACAGTCAGAGGGGGCATTCAAAGAGGATCTTGGAAATATAAATAGTTCTTGAGCTTTCCAAGGGCTTTGGAGGTTGTCAGTAGGCCCAGGTCCTAATAGCCAAAGGGTTGCCCCCCAAGGTGTGAAAGGCAACAGATGTTCCTTCCTTCGCTGGGTCCCCAGAGTCTCAGAGAAGGTAGACCATGGGTTGGTTCTCTGCCTCAGCTCTTCCAGCTGTGTTTAGTAGGATTCAGGACTTCTGCTGGGCCTCTGATGTTCCTGCTTGCGGAGCAGGGACTTGGGGAAGGAGGTTGGGGTCCGGAGGTCCTGAGAGGAGGGAGGACGTTTGTAAAGGTGGCCTTGGCATGGCAATGCCTGAAGTAGCGTGTCCATGGGCAGGGCCCTCAAGCTTCTTTTTCTCCTGTCTGCAACAGGGCGTGCTAACCGAGTTCACTGCGCCCTTCTGTCCAGGCTCCAGTTTGCTTTTGCTTTTTTCATGATCCAGTTTCTTGTTCTGATCCAGGTTAGGCTAACTTCCCAGATCTCCTTCCTACAGAAATGTGACTTCATCCACGCTGGGCCTGGGCCCGGCTGGAGCAGGGCTGGGGCCAAGGACAGCAAGTCCTTGATGGGCTTCTTTGGGACTGTCCTGGGGGCCCAGCAGCCTCCAGTGGATGAGGTAGATGCCATCCTCTCGCTGTGGGGCAGGTGGCTCTGTTTGGAAAGTGGCATGACCTTGGTGGAGTCTTGGCCCAAAGTGGACAGCCACTATGATACACACTGCCGCCAGGACAAACATGGACACAATGACAGTGAGCAGCCGCAGCCCGTCCGCCTCGCCCAGCACCTCTGCGAGCTGCCTCTGGGGCTCCTGCCCAGCCGAGCCGTTTAGAGCAGAAGAAGGTAGAGGGTAGTGGTCAGCCTGGGGGGTGAGTGGTAGAGAGACACAGAGGGATTGATTGATTGATTGACGTGGACATGTACTCATGAGAAAGACCAAACTAGAGAGAGAGGGATCCTCAGAAGAAGCTGAGAGTAACAGAGAGCTCCGGGGAGAAGTGGAGGAAGAGAGAGAATAAAGAAAAAGAAACACAGGTAAACACACACATAGCAAGAGAGATAATAAGACAGAGACAGGGAGAGATACAGAGAGGGAGAAATACACAAAGTGGAAAAGGGACTTGGCTGGTGGTTTATACCCGCAGTCCTAGCACCCGGGGCACAAAGACAGATCCTGCTGCAAGTTCAAGGCCAGTTTGGGCTATGTAGGACTGTCGTAAGTTCAAGGCCAGCCTGAATCTCAGCAAGACAAAATCCTCGAAATACCTTTCAAAATGCCTCAAAACAAAATGAAAACAAAGAACAAAACAAACAAAGAGGAAAAGTGAAAGAAAAAGATCCAGACAATGACACAGAAAAAAGAAACAGAAAGATAAGGCATTACATTAAATTTGTTCAGAAAGAGGCAGAGAGACAGACTTCATTTCAGTCTGGCACACAGAGTTGGCCTCAGAGACCCCTCTCATTTCCAGGTCTCCAGCCTGTGTCCTGGGTCAGGAAAGGGACTGTTGCCCCATGCCCTGGGCAGTGGACAGTGAGTAGCTACCCTAAAAACCTGAAAAGCGAAGCAACGGCCCCCAGTCTAACCTTATCTAGTCTCTTGGGCCCCCAAGCCAGACTCACTGGAAGGCAAGGAGGTGGCACCAGGGAATGGGAGCGGGAAGAGGGGACGTGAACAGAACCTTGGGGTAGAGTGTGGGAGGTGTCTCATCTCAAAATCACACCCTCCTCCCCCAGGCCTTGGAATCAAATCCTGGGACCTGGTGAGGGAGGGACCCAGTGTGGATTCCTGGCTCTGCCCAGAACGGACTAAGGAGATCCTGGGTCATCTACCTCTGATGGGGAACATCTTTTGGTGGCGGGGTACGAGGGATTGAACTCGGGTCCTTGTGCTTGAGCAGCAGACGCTGGAACCACTGAGCTAAGTCTCCAGCCCTCTGAAGGGGTGCATGATCTGTCTCTACCCTGCTATATATTTAGTATGGATAGGGAGTAGCAGCGAAGGAAGAAAACCTCAAAAATAAACCCAGAGTTGGTGAGGGCATCACAGGATGACAGCTGTCCCTCCCTGGCTTCCCCCTCCCCAGCCTGAGGTCCCCAAGCAGAACCTCGGGGGTGGAGGCCCCCTCCAACCCTAACCCTGGCCCGACCCTCCTTTGGGTAGGCACCTGGGGTCCAGCAAAGGCTGCCCAGGGCAAAATCTTTTCCTTTATCCACCGGTCGTACTGCCCATGCATCCCACCTCCCACACACGTCCCTTTGCACTTGGGAAGCCCAGACCCCAGTCCCCTTGCAAGTTTAGGCACCCAAGGCAGGCTGGTTGCAAAGGCAGCCTGTGAAGCAGCAAGGACGCTGTACGCACGGGAGGAAAGAGAAGGGAAACAGTCCAGGGAAAGACAGGGTCCCCTGCAGGGAGTCAGGCCAGCCTGGCAGGAAGGGATGAGCCAAAAGTCTACCTGGTGCATTGTCCGGGACTGGCACGGGGCTCCCTGGGGACTGCAGGACTGCGAGGCAGAGGAGAACTGGCTGCTCAGCTCAGCCCCTACCAGGAGCTGCCACGTCCACGGGGCTGCAAGGCACACACCCTCGGCACACATTCTCGCTTTCTTTCCCGCGCGCACTTCCGGGAACATCTGGGCTGCCCTGGGCCAGCCCTGAGCTCTGAGAGCACCTTGCTCTTCCTCCTTGGCTCTCCACTCACGCTGCCTGCCAGCTGCCCACCCTTCCTCCACCAGCGCCCCCAGCAGCCCTCCACCAGGACAGGCTCCCACCCCCCACCAATTTCCTGAAGCTACTGGCCTTTGAGATTTCCTCTTTCTACACAGTGCTTCAACTGCACTGGAAAGTATAGATTATCATACACTCTTTATATAATATACTGTTTGGATAAGGAATCTCTAAATCTCTACAGCCCAACCACTACCTCTATCTCTTAGTTTGTCACATATATTTCTAAAATGTTAAGAATTACACTTTTTTCTTTTCTTTCTTCTTTCTTTATTTTCTTTTTTGTATTTTGATACAGGGTCTTACTATGGAGTCCAGATTGACCTTGAACTCACAATCCATGTGCCTCAGTCTCTTGCTTGCCTGGATCATTTTTATTTTTAATCAACACGTAATAATTATACATTTATGGGACACAGCGTAACATTACAATACCTATATACAATGTATAGTGATTAGATCTGGGTAATTGGAATATCTACCACCTCAGACATTTATCACAAGGAATTAAAATATTATAAAGGAAGTAAAAAGGATTAAGGGAGGCTGGGCGTGGTGGCGCTCTCCTGTCATCCCAGCACTCGGGAGGCTGAGGCAGGAGAATTGCTGTGAGTTTGAGACCAGCCTGGGCTACATGGTGAGTTCCAGGTCAGTCTCAACTACATAGTGAGACCCTATCTCAAAAAACCTAAAAAGCTGGGTGCACGCCTGTAATCCCAGCACTTGGGAGGCTGAGGCAGGAGGATCGCTGTGAGTTCGAGACCAGCCTGGGCTACATGGTGAGTTCCTGGTCAGTCTCAACTACGGATTAAGGGAAAAGGGAGAGGAGGAAAGGAAGGAGAAGTAAAAAGGACTAAGTTTCAATATGTATGGTACCAACTTCTCACAATGAATGCATTCATCACACATTTCAAACATCTGCTAATAAAAAATAAAATATTGCTGGGGCCGGGGATTAGGCTCAGTGGTTCCACTGCCTCCTTGCAAGCACAAGGATCCAAATTCGATCCCCGTTACCAAAAAAAACAACAACAAAAATAAATAAATAAAATATTTCAGATAAAACACTAGCTCCCCACGCCCTGATCTCTTATCTGCTTTCACTCCAGAGTTAACCGCCTTGTAGAATTTGATGTTCATCTTTCCCATGCAAGTTTTTACAAATAATTACATGTCTCTTTGCAATTGTCTGAAAGACTTTGTGAGAATCAGCTTAAATGTGCTCAAGTCACACAAAATGCCTGTCAATCTCTTCTCACTGGACACAGTAGTTACAAGACGATTCTTGGTTCCAGCTGGCACCATGGGATGAGCCACCCCTCAGCCTGCCCTCGAATCATGTGCCACCTTCCCTTCCAGTCTGGAGACCAGGAGACCCTGGGAACTTCTGCTCCTGACTTGGATGTGCAGGTGGAACTTCCTGGTTACTTGTCTTTTGGCCAAGCTGCCGTAACCATGGCGTTCAGTGACCCCGCTGGGATCTGTAAGCTCACTTGGGCCCAGGTTCCCGGGCTGCTGACCTGACCCCCCAATCCACAAGGCCTGTTGCTGGCTGGCCCTGAAGCCCCTGCTGATCCCTTTCCCATGCAAGGGAAGGCTCTGAGCATCCTTTGCCTCCCATTTCTGTCCACTTGAATGTTAGCCAGAGAGGATCTGGACTCTGCCCCAAGTCCGGGACTTCAGCCACTGTTGTTTGCCTCTTACCTCCTCCAGACACATGTGCCATTGTTCTTCAGGTACCTTCACCGGGACCCTGAGTCCAAAGCCTGATTTCTGATTCTTCTGACTATTACTTTTTTCCCCAGTTATCTGAGAAAAGGTCTCACTATGTAGCCCAAGCTGGCTTCAAATTCACAGCAATCCTCCTGCCTCAGCCTCCCAAGTACTGGAGTTACAGGCATGCGCCACCAAACCTGGGCTCCCCCCACCACTTCTTTCCTTTTCTTTTCTTTCTTTCCACCAAACCTGTTCTCTCTCTCTCTCTCTCTCTCTCTCTCTCTCTCTCTCTCTGTTTTTCTTTCTGGCTATTTTTACTTTATTCCATGAAGGAGGTGCACTAGTCCAAGTGAAAGCAGACCCCACATGGTCACATTATACAAGGTATTAAGGTTTTTAAACTTGTGACAAGGGCCAGAAAGGAAATCCTCACTTAAGACTTAGTGAGCCACAGGTACTTAAAACCCAAGAACCTTCAGCTGATTGTCCTTAGCCAATCCAGTCTCTACCAGGAACTGGTTATGTTCTTGTGCTGATCACCCCAGAGCTCTCCACATTCTCGATGCTGGATTACAGTTCCATTTCAGGCAGGATTCATTTGCTTTTTTTTTTTTTTTTTGGTGCTGGGGATGGAACTCAGGACCTCTTGCCAGGAAGCCGCTATGTCACTGAGCTATATCCCCAGCCCTGCACGCAAGTTTCTTCTTAAAGGCCTTCATCAGTTTCTTTTTATTATAATCATCATTGATCCCTTGGACAATGGTAAGGGTCTTCCTACCGTTTCTCAGTTGGATTCTTCTGTGGATATAATCAGTGCTGGCAGGAAGCAGGTCATCCCCTCACTTGCATCAGCAAAGGGGATGAAAGAGTGCAGGTTCTGGGTAGTGGACATCCAATGGAGGCTATTTCCATGGAGGTGGACAGAAGGCGGCTGTGGGGTGGTGGGGAGAAGGAGCCCTGGGAAGCAGGGAGCTTGAGAGGAAGACAGCAGAGTTTTTGGCTGTGGCTCAGTGACTAGGGCTTTTTTTCCTTTTTCTGACTCACTGATCCTAGATGTATCTTCTAAAGGGATTCAGAGAGAATAAGAAGGTGGAATTTCCAGGACCAGCAAGACTATGTTCCCAACCTTTTCTCTCTTTCTCACTCACTGGTTTGTTGTTTTGTTTTTCAGATAGGGTCTTGCTATATAGTTCAGGCTGGCTTTGAATCCACTATGTAGCCCAGGCTGGCCTCAAACATGAGGTGATTCTCCTGCCTGGTCTCTCGAGTGTTGGCATTATGGGCGTGCACCAGCAGCTCACGCTCTCTGTTGTGAGCTTCCCTCCCCCCACTCCTGCTATCTAGACATTAGCCTCATTCCAGTGTTACTTCCTCCAATGTCATAGTTTGGGTCAAAAAAGTCAATCCGAAGCTTAATGTGGGCTTTTGGAAGGTGATTCTATCATGGGTCACAACATCAGCATTGGGTTTATCCACTGAGGAGTTTATGGCCAAATGTGGTGCTAGGAGTGGGTGCAAGAAGTTGGTCCCTGGGGGTGAGGCCTGGAAGGGGGTGTTCTTGCCTGACTCTTCTCTCTCTCTAGCTCCTACCCTGCACTCTGCTTCCTGTCAGGCCTGAAGTGAGTTGCTTCCCTCCACCCTGTCCTCCCACCATGGTGTTTCTGCCTTACATGACCATGGACTGAGACCTTGAACCTGAAACTGAGCTAAAATAAGCTTTTTTTTTTTTTTTTTTTTTTTGTACCAGGGATTGAACTTGGGTCCTTGTGCTTGCGAGGCAGGAGGTGAAACCACTGAGCTAAATCCCTGGCCCTTTGCTTCCCCCTACCCTTTAAGTTGTATATGTAAAGTATTTTGTCCCAGCAACAGAAAGATGATTAATATATCCTGAAAATATTATTTAGCTCACTATACTTGAGGAGCCTTCTTTTCTTTTTCTTTTTTTGGGGATTGCGGGAAGTCTTGAGCCAGGTTCTCACTATGTAGTTCAGCCTGGCCTTACCCTCACTGCGTAGACCAGCTGTCCTCGAACTCTCAGTGATCTCTGATTCAGCCTCCTGAGTACTGAAATTATAGGTGAGCACCATCACGCACAGCCCTTTCTGGATTTTGTTGTCATAGGACCTGTTAGGGTGCATATAGAGGTCTCAAATGATCAAGAATCTTCTCTTATTTTAATTTTAATTTTAATTTTTAGACAGGGTCTTGCTATGTAGTTTCAGGCTAGCATGGAACTCACTGTGTAGCCTAGGCTGGCTTTGAACTCTTGGTGATATTACTGCCTCAGCCTCCTGAGCGCTAGGATTACAGGTGTGCCCCACGACGCCAGAATCTGCTCTTATTTCACAGAGAATAAAATATCTGTTTTTTTGAGGCTTGAGTTCCAAAGATGAAAAGACTCTGGGGTCCACCCCAAAGTACCCCTGGAGCTGGAGGCCCCTGACCCAGCCTATACAAGGGAGGTCACCTCTCCTTTACAACTCCCCAGAGGTGATATAGCAGAAATAGCTTTGTTGGTCTAAGGAAGACAAAGAACAGTCCTGCACCTTGTGCCAGCTGAAGAAAGCCAGGGAGTGAAGCCTGCAGATGGAACCTGAAGATAGGCACTTGTTGGGCCATCCTGAACAGGCAGAGGAAGCAGCTGCGACAGGCCCTGGGGAACACTGGGAGCCCTGACTTTCTGGGCTCCTCTTATGCTATGGGCCACTGGGGAAAAGCCAAGAGCAAGGGCCGCCCACTGCAGCCACACCATGCTTTTGGCCTTCATATAAAAAGCTATACGTTGAGTCCGGCGTGGTGGCGCACGCCTGTAATCCCAGCACTCAGGAGGCTGAGGCAGGAGGATCACTGTGAGTTTGAGACCAGCCTGGGCTACATAATGAGTTCCAGGTCAGTCTCAACTACATAGTGAGACCCTGTCTCGAGGCACCCCCCCAAAAAAGCTATAGGTCTGTGGGCCGGGGATGTAGCTCAGCAGCATGGTGCTTGCCTGGCAAGCACAAGGTCCTGAGTTTGATCCCTGGTTAGAAAAAATGCCAAAAGGCTATAGGTCTAAGTAGTGTGAGGTTTCTTTCTGGTGTAATGAGAATGTTTTCAAATTGACTTTACATATGATGGTTGCACAACTATCTGAACATACTAAAGCCACCCAGGCTGGTGTGTCAGAGTGTAAGTGGGATGTGGAAAGAGTCTATGGGGGAGGCGGCAGCAGAGAAGGCAGCTTGGTTGGTTACTGCAAGGAATGTGATCAACTAGTAGACATATTAAGGATAATGGGAGCCAGGTTTAAGAGAAAGGCCTTGAAGAAGTACCTCTGAGTACCAGGAGCTCGCCCACCATTCAGTTTCTAAACCCTATTTGCACCGGGCATGGTGGTGCATGCCTGTAATCCTAGTACTCTGGGAGGTGAGACAGGAGGATCATAAGTTTGAGTCCAGTATGGGTAACTTAGTGAGATAATGTCTCAAAATGAAAAATAAAAAAGTAGCTGGGGATGTAGTTCAGTGTGAAAGCCCTGGTTTCAATCCCCACTACCATAATACCAAACAGAAAAAAAAAATCACTAGATAAAAGGAATGAAGTCTCCTTAGAGAAATAACCAATTTCAGGGCTGAGTAAGATGAAGTTGGAGCATGTCACTATGCAGAAAGTAAAGAAGTAATCACAGAACGGTGGAGCCCTGCCAGAAGGTTGCAGAGACCAGCTCTAGGAGGTAGCTAGTGGCCAAAATGGGGACAATTTGGGGAGTGAATTCATAAATTATTGAATTATATTGTAATCCATTTACAAACAGGAATACATGACTCTATTTACAAATTTGTATGTGGAAAAATTGACAAGAGAAAAATAGTTACTTAATTTCTAAGTATCTCACCACAAAAATATCCGTTAATTACAAATGGCAAAAGCATATGGAGATATCCACTCATAAGTGCAAGGTCTTGAGTTTGATCCCATAAAATAAAACAAAGAGGCCTGGGGATTTAACTCAGTGGTTCTGTCACCTGCTTCACAAAAGCAAGGTTCTGATTTCACTCCCCGATACCAAGAAGAAAAAAAAAACAGAGAAAGAGAACTGGCTATGGTGGGCTGATGGATGTCTCCCCCACAAGGACATGTCTATGTATGTGTGT